AAAAAAAAAAAAAAAAGATGACAGGTAGAAACGTGCAGGATGCCTGTTTCAAATATCCTCTCTTCTGCTATATGTAGTCATGTGCTTCCTTTAATTAATGAGACATTGTTAGGGTCAACCAAGCCCTGTCCTTTAGGCAATCCCTCTAAACTTCTTGTTTCTAAAATATAGTCCAAATAAAAGCAAATTGTTGCATTTAAAGTTTTATTCAACCTGAGGAATTCAGGACATGACACGACCTGATAAAGGAAGTTTTCTTCAAACTCACGGAAGGACAGCTAGAGAGTAGGGATCTAAAAGTGATGTTCAAAGTTCTTTTGATTTAGAGCAGTACCTAGTAAGCCTCTGTCAGCAGATTTCCTTAGTGGGATCTTCTGTCTGTTTGGAGGAGGCAGTGAGGGAATCAGATGTCAGTAGGACAATCGGAGGCTGGTTGGAGACACAGGGGACGTGTTTACTTTTTTACAGAGTGAAGCTTGACTTGTGCTTTGCATGTGTGCTCTTTGCAGAATCTGTGAAAGGAGTTTCTACAATGGTTTGCTCAGCTCTCAGGAGAGTTGCCCACATGCATGTTTTCCTGGTGAGGAAGGCCAGTAGTGTCTCCAAAGGCCATCATCGGCAGGCCTTGGGCTCAAGACCTGCTGCTTCAGAGTTTGGTGCCCGAGGAGCTCCAGGTGGTGTGGTGGAGTTGCTGGGCAAATCCTACCCTCAGGACGACTACAGCAACCTCTCCCAGAAAGTCCTCTCCAGGCTTGGCAGGAATCTGCACAATCAGCAGCATCACCCTCTCTGGCTGATCAAGGAGAGGGTGAAGGAGCACTTCTACAAGCAGTATGTGGGCCGCTTTAGGACTCCACTGTTCTCGGTCTACGAGGACCTTTCTCCAGTGGTCACCACCTGGCAGAACTTTGACAGCCTGCTCATCCCAGCTGACCACCCCAGCCGGAAGAAGGGAGACAACTATTACCTGAATGGGACTCACATGCTGCGAGCACACACGTCCGCACACCAGTGGGACCTGCTGCACGCTGGGCTGGATGCCTTCCTGGTGGTGGGTGATGTCTATCGGCGCGACCAGATCGACTCCCAGCACTACCCAGTGTTCCACCAGTTGGAGGGCGTCCGACTCTTCTCTAAACACGAGGTGAGTGCTGAGACCATTCTTATCATTGATACATAGCGTGGACATTCTTGTTGAGGTCACTAAAGTTTATCTCAATGAAAGCAGTTGTCCTTGATCTCCTTTTGCGTTTGTAAATTATACATCAGTACAGGCCGAGCCTCAATATTTTTTGATTGACTTGTTGTGTTCGTACCTACAGAAATGAGTTGGCCTTTGTTTTCCCTCGTCTGACCTTAGTCTTTCAATACTGACCTGCCTTTCTCTAGGTTTCTTCATATGAATGAATAGTCAGTGGCTCAAATTTATCCTCAGTCCATGATGTAACTTAAGATACAATGCTGAAACCTATGGTCAGGTTATCCCAGTTCTCAGTTAGTAAAAGTGAATTAGGTTTTCGTGCTTTTAGAGGTTAATGAATTTCTTCTGCAGTAGAGGGGACTGGCAATTTATTGACTTAGATTGGAAACTGTGTTCTGGTCCCAAGCTCTTCCCTTACCATCTCCTCCTTTACATTGGTAGGTGTTTTACATTTTTTTCTTTGTGAGATGCCTTAGTTGTTGCTCTTCCTGAAGTGTATGTTTGGAGCTTAGAGGTTTTTGATCAGGGAATCTGATATTCTGGTTATTCTCAAAAGCCACCTTTCGTGTTTGTTAGCTGATATCATAATATACTGATTTACTATTTTTTTCTCTTTGGCAAATTATGAAAATCCCTAAAAGCTTGAGTCTATTTCCTAAAAACCTGCAATACCACTTGTCTTTCATTCATATATTTTTAAGTCTCTGTTTTTATGTAAGAAACAAATGGAATAAAATGAGGCACAGGAAATATTTCACTTTACCCCTTTCACACTTCTTCCACACATGTTCATCAAAACAGGAGGAACAGTTCCCTCCTGTGAACAGAAGCTACATGGGTTGTTGGACATGGAAAGGAATAGTATATGATCCCTAGGCCAAGAAGGAACCATTGTTTTGTTGTATTAAGTGAGCCACGTCGTATGAGACAACTGTTTGCCTCAGGATGTGCTGTTTTTCTGTGAGTCTGCGATCCTACAGCAGTAGGTGAGCTTTACATGCTAAGGCCATCCACGCTTGATCGCATAGCTGCTTAAATGAGCATTCTTACTCCTTGGAATAGCTGGCTCTTTTCTAAATTAGGATTAACACTATTAATAAGGGTATGGGTTTATTAGGAAATGAAAAGGAAACGAACATAGACAGGTCAAAGTCTAGGAAATATGACCAAGCGATAGAATGTCACCTACAATTAATGAGCTGGAGGAGATGTATACTAGTGAGATGGTGGCCAGGTCACGGTAGCCGGCAGGTGCTCGGCCTGGCTTACCTCATTAAAAAAATGAGAAAGGAAAGTGCTCACTGATTTGTAAGCCTCAATGCCATGAAAGTGGCAGAGAAAACTTTGAGACTTAACACTGGAATTTTAATGGAGGAAAAATCCAGGCTACCTTAGAAGGTGGAAAATAGGAAGAGGGATAGGAAAGTAATCTTTATCTTGTTTCATATTTGTTTGGGGTCCAGTCCAGTTTAGTCGTTAGCAGACATGGCTAATCTAGACTGATAATGTTACTGTATATTTTGCCTTATCATTAAAAAAATTATACACACACACACACACACAAACATAACTAATAATATAGTTTGATGAGGAATTCCATGTCCATTGTTTCATTTATTCCTCTTACTAAAACCCTTGTGAGATCAGTTGTTTCCACCTCAACCATGAGGAATCTGAAGTCCCCGGAGGTTGCCCAAGGTTATCCACCCAGTTGGTGGCAGGGCTGAAACTTGAACTCAGGTCTTCTGAGTCCATTGCCCATTCTGCTGTATTCTGTTGCTTTCTAGGTAGCTGCTTTGTAAGTGGGACCTGCTTATGACCCAGGTGGAGCGTTAGTTTTAAGAATGGTGTTGGGGAGAGAGAGGTTTTTTGTTATTGTTGTTGTTGATTTTGTTTATTTCTTTTTAAAGCCTGGTCTCAACTAAAGTGTTGGTACTAAGTCTGACCTAATCTTAACCATCAAAAAAATGTTTTTTCCTTCTTTCATTTTATTCCCCTAGAACATGATTTTTCGGTAATTTTGATCATGTTACCTATGTAATTTAAAAATTATATTATCTTTTAAAGTTCGGTTATTTAGTAATCTTTGTAATTATTGTTTCAATCACTATAAGGTGTATTTCAACAAGAAGAAAAGTAAATACAGAGGTCTGGGTAAAAGAAACAGGGATAAGCCTAGAAATGACTGAATTATGACAATATATATTTTAACTATTAATTGTGAAGAAACCCTGTTTGTATTTCGAAAAAAGGTTAAATCTATCAGTACTCACAAATCTAAATGGGTTAAACTTACCAATTAAAGACATACATTACCAGAGTGGACATTTTTTAGTGAGAGAGACCTGAAACAAAACCATACCAGAGGTTGAAAATAAAGGGCAGGAAAAAGATATATCAAGCAAATACTTGCCAGAAGAAAGCTGGTACAGCAATATTAGTATTAGACAAAATAGAACTTGTGGCAAAAATTGATAAATACGAATAAAGAGAGATAATATATCAACTACAATGCTTTATGAATCAGGAATTTTAATGTGCCCAACATCATAGCCATAATACATAAACCAAAACTGAAGAAATAAAAGTTTAATTTGACAAATTCATAATCATAGTAGAAGATTTTAAGTGACCTCAGTCAAAAACCAATGGATTAAGAAGACAAAGTGAGTAAAGATATAGATAACCTGAAAACACGATTAACAGGCTTGAGTTATGGTTATTTTTAAAATTCTGTAACTAAAATAAAATAAAATTCTGTAACTATACAAATCCACACAGAAATTCTATACTCACAGTCGGAGGTATGTAGTCACATGGGATACTTAAAATAAGTTGTCCATGTACTAGTTGACAGCTGAAGTCTAAATAGGTGTCAAAGAATCAAAAACATAAATAGAACTGTGCTTGACTACAATGTGGTTTATGTAGAAAGCAGGAAGAAAGGATAATAAAAACTTTTCATGTCCTCAGACATTTAAAAATTCACAGTTATAGATTCATGGAATAAAGAGAAATATTACAGGGGCACCTGGGTGGCTCAGTTGTTAAGCGTCTGCCTTCGGCTCAGGTCATGATCCCAGGGTCCTGGGATCAAGCCCCGCATGCGTCAGGCTCCCTGCTCGGCAGGAAGCCTGCTTCTCCCTCTCCCATTCCCCCTACTTGTGTTCCCTCTCTCGCTGTGTCTTTCTCTGCCAAATAACTAAATAAAAATCTTTTAAAAAAAAAGAAAAGAGAAATTTTATAGTAAATTGCAAATTACTTATTAACCAGTAAGGAAAATACTCTCTTCAAACTGCTCAGATGGGCGGGAAAATAGTCACTTTATTTTGTAGAAACTTGGTAGACCCCACTTAAATTGTGTGATCACAGTTAACATTAATAAAGCAAAATGTGTGGGATGGAGCTGAAGAGGTACTTGTAGTACATTTAGTTTAAATATATTTAGGAAAATTTTAAAACCCTGAAAAATCAGTGAATTAAGTGTCATTTTAAGATGCTAAAGCAAACAACATTGTTCTAAAAATGTAGAAGGGAGGTGGGTTGTATAGTTTGTAATAGTCCCAAATCTTACAAAACAGATAGCAACTGGAATAGCAAAGCCCATCTCCGACATGGCTGGGTGACGAGGTCTCCCTAAGATCTTCACAAATGGTGGGAACTTACAACTGCCAGCTGCAAGCTCTGCACTGTGTCCGAAACCGAGGCTGTAGAGGGAACCAATGAGGGCTGAGGGGAGGAGAGCTTCTGAGTCTCTCAGAGAACAAACTTCGGACAACCCAATTTACTCGCGGGCCTTCGACATTTAGTGCTAGTAATAACATTGCTCATCAGTGACCACCAACATCACAAAGAGAGGGTCCAGGGCCAGACTTTCAGGTCTCCTGACGAAGAATACAGTGGCAGCTCTAAAGTCTTGCCAAAAAATTTGGACCTGACTCTGATCAGATCTCTAGATCCAGCTCCAAATTGACAGGTAGTACAGAGGACAGAGAAACATGCTAAACTATGCCATGGAGAATTAATAAGCAAAATCCAACCTGTGGGAAATGCAACAGCAATGCTAAGGGGCGCCTGGGTGGCTCAGTCATTGAGCGTCTGCCTTCGGCTCAGGTCATGATCCCAGGGTCCTGGGATCGAGCCCCGTGTTGGGCTCCCTGCTCCACGGGAAGCCTGCTTCTCCCTCTCCCACTCCCACTCCCCCTGCTTGTGTTCCCTCTCTTGCTGTCTCTCCCTCTCTGTCAAATAAATAAATAAAATCTTTAAAAAAAAAAAAAAGATGTGATGTGCATAATGAAATAAACAGAAAAATCAAAAGGAAGGCCTTAGAAATGTTTAAGCAGCAGTGTTTAGAAATGTGTAAGCCATCATATTCAAGCACATTATCAGTGGAATTCCTTTGTGGAATAGCATATAAACTGGTTCCAGTGTTCTTCCATGCTCCTGGTGAGTTTCATGTGCTCAGTCTGTGTGGTAGTCATGCACAGTAAGACCATGTCTCAGTCTGAGACTGATGGGAAATCTTAAACTGTCCCTTCAATATTGGCAGCTTGAGAAGCACTGCTGTATAGGACAAATGATTCGATTTCATCAAGTAAACTGCAAGAAAAATAAAAGGGAAATACACCTATAGATTAAAAGAAAGATCAAGGAATCATAAAAAATCATTTGAGGCCATTAGGAATTTGAATGCTAACTGAATGTCTGAATTTAAGGAGTTTTTTATTTTTATTTTTTAAGGTATGATAGTGGTATTATATTTAGAAAGTCATTTTCCTTTAGATTTACATATTGAAATACCTGTGAGTGAAATGATCAGATGTCTGGTTTTCTTCAGAATAATATGGGGATAGGCATGTGGGGATGAATGGAAGAGGATTGGTCATGAATTGTTAATTATTGAAGCTGGGTTTTGGATACATGAGGGATCATTATCCTTTCTACTTTCGCGTGTGTTTGAAATTTTTCTGATATAAAGT